AAACTTTGGTATCTATGGTTGCAGTTTTATTATACAGGATGTGCGGTAAATAGGAGTATAATTGACGAGGAGGTATTTCAAATATATTTTGAAATAAGAAAAACAATCTTTTGTATTGTAAGGAATTTTCTATTTCTTTTGAGAGCATTCGGGAAGTTCCTCGAACCGCGGAAGATATGTAAACATATTCACTTTTGTTTTGTTTGGAATAACCGTCGACTTTCCCAAAACATCTACGTATATATATAAATAAGAGGCGAGCAACAAACGCGAGTCAGTCTGTCTGTGCAAGTCGTGCAATATACAGTAAAGTGTCTGTTTTTCTCGTTAGTGTAAATAATAGAATACGTTGTAGATTTTCTTTCGAAAGTATTTTTGTTGATTAATAGTTTCTTAGAGAAGTAACTTCGAACGTGAAATTGTAATGCGACAGGTATTAATTAAATTGAATGCAATGTTAACTGGTAATCTTTATTTATTTTATGGAAAACATGAAGCAAGTGCTTTTAGTGGCAACCTAAGATCGCGTTTACAGTTCGTCTTCTTAAGGTTTAGTATGGATAATCTTCTGTTTGGGGTAATTTAATAAAGAAGAAGCTAAAGGAATTTCTCCGAAGCGAATCTTTCCGTTCGATACATCCACCGATATTTTTGCGAGGTTTCGTTTTCATTTTTTCCCCCGAGATCTGTTTACGCTCCCAATATCGCTGCTGCATTTCTCGAGCTGCATACCTCGCCGAAGGTCACTATGCGCCTTACCACAAGCAACCAGATCGCCGAGCATGCATTTCAGTGTTTTCGCTCTTCTTCTCCCCATCTCGTGAATTCAAACAAAAATACCTCTGATCGAATAAACATTCCCTCTCCGAAAAGTATTACAATATTAGTTCGTGAAATCTTGGATTTCGAATTATTTCTCAAATTGGTCGCCACAAGTGATCACTCGAATCTTGAAAAATTTGGTTTTCTGAAAACTTTTTTTCATGTTAACTTAAAGTCCTTTAAATTCTTGGTAACTCACTGTCAGAGAATGTAAGGGTAATTTTAATGCGAATTTAATTCCTCCTAAGTTAATTAATTAATTAAATTTAAATTAAATTAGGTCCTCTTAAGTTAAGTTAATTAAGAATAGTTTTCCCATTCGTGTTATTCAGAATTCACATATAAATGAATTCCAATGAAAATCCAAAGAATTACTCGACAGAAATCTCTATCCAAAGTATCAGAAAGTGAACTTTATCACCAGATAAAATCTCCGTTACTTTGATTCCAACGAAAATAACATTTCACCCGAACGATCTGTCAGCGGCGACTCGGAGAGAAAAGGAGGAACCATGATCCCCAATAGCGCCGTGTTTCCCCCCTGCAGTCTCTAAATCTCTTTAAAACACGAATTCGTGAGTTTTTCTGAAGAGCAGCCTGACGGCGAGAGACGCTCATGAGCAACCACGTCCATAGTTTATGGCCGCGAGTGGCCACCAAATCTTTAAGGCCTGCTATCTTCGAACGCCTTCGAGGCAGACGTAAATATTCATGGCCGCTAAGTGACAGGACACGTGGAGAATCTTCTTAAGTCGCCTCTCCTCTTCTTTTCTCCTCTTCGACCTATACATACTCGTATCGTTTCGCGTTCCTTTCCTTGTTTTCTTCTTCTTCTTCGTCTTCTCGCCGTTTTCGGACCCGTCTAATAGCCAGCAGCTCGAAAATACACCGTTGAGTTTCCCTCGCGATTACGCTTTCCATCTCTCTATCCCCGGAACGACGAAAGGTCAGACTCTTGTTTGTTCCTGGTTAACGTCGTAACTCTGTCGAAGGCTCACTCTTGGACCGATTGTTATCGCGCGACGACGAGAGCCCTGACCGCGTAGACTCTCGAGGTTAATTGCTGGTTTGAATATGATTTTTTTTCTGGGTTGCAAGTATGTGCTTTTAGATTCGATAAACTTTCGTAAGTGGCTTCCACGATGATTACAGTGATTCTGGTACTTAGAACGCTGATTACGTTATTCGGGGCTGGGTAATTTTTGAGAACGTCGAAAGTGGAATTCTTGAGGTAATGGGTGCTGTTTGAACACCCTTTGGAGTATGTTTTATCAGTTTTTCGAGTTAGTGCTTAATTGGGGATATTACAAATTGCATACAATTTGAATTATAGCGCAAATGAGGAAATATGCTGTTTGAAAAATGTTTCTATTTTTATTCCTTTCAAAAACTGAGTTAAATATTACCTTATACTCTACACGTTATATTTTATCTTGCTCACCACAGAAAATTTGCTTAATAAGCTGTATTTTAATTTTTTAATCCTTTCAAATACTAACGTGTGCTAATTTTTTCTCAAAATATATTTTAGTTGCTTAATTCACACTTTGTATTCTAAAATATTACCTTATACTCTACGCTCTGTGCTTTTTTCCCTTTTAACCCAATTTTCCGTTAAAATAATATTTTGTCAAAATAACTGAATATTGAGAATTCTTTCGATTGTTATATTTTGTCTCGGTCATAGACGTGCAAAAATTCTCACTTAAAAGAAATTCTCATTTAAAGAAAATTTTCATTTAAAAAAATCCCACTTGAAACAATCCTCGCTTAAAGCTTGCCGCAGTTAAAGGGTTCAATTCTCCACCTAACTCCAAACACTCTCAAAAATGAAAATAAATCAGGACGTAACCGTAGAAAACAATGCAACGAGATGATCAGGGAAATTGTCACGAAATAGAAAACTGCATCGGTGAATACGACGATTGTCTCGAATTGCAGCGGCTCCTCCTTCGCTCGTATCTCTACCTGTAGTTGACGTTCACTTTTCATTCGTGACACGGGACAAAGCAGTTACCACACCCTGGCTGCGTGCACGTTTTACGCTTAAAACACTTGTATCACGTGTCACGTAAGCCATGGTATTGGGTATACGCGTGCTTCATGCCGAACGAACCGTCGATACCTAATGGTACGATCGTTTTATTAGATTAGAACAGTGGTTTCTTCATAACTCAGGTATTCCTGTTGTATTTGTCTGACGGTGAGTCGTTGGTGCGCCTTGAAAATTAATCCATTTCGTTGCAACTTCCCTTCGCTCGTGTGTTGTTCCCGTTGATCGATGGACTTCTCCTCGCTGATTCGAAACGTGTACGGGGTCTCTCGAGTGCCGTGTAAATAGAATGTAAATTGCCATTTGGTTGCTGTAAGTAGCGAGTTTCAGAGTGTTTCTGCTGTTGAAAATTATGGCCTTTTCTCTGCGTGCACACGTTGGGTTTATGTTGCAAGGGAAATAGGTTGTTCGAATGGAACGGTTTTAACATGACGTTTATGTGAGAATCAGCGTGTCAGGGTCGGGGGATTCAATTCGCCTAAATTTCAGTCGATCCTCCTTGACCAGCTCCAACTCTCATTGACCTACTGGAAGCCACTTGCGAGCGAAATCAGCGATTGGTGATTGTCATCGACAATTAGAATTTTTTTTTTT